TTTTTAATTGTTACTTTCTTTGAAAGGTTTTTTTTTTTTAATTTTTTATTTTCAATAAGTAAAGAGAATTATTTTTGTTAATTTATTTTTGGAAAGTTTTGTTTTGAAAAGCATTTTATAAATTGGTTTTAAATTACTTACTTTTACACTACCACGTGAAGTTGGTGAAGTATCGATTTTATATTTACTAGCAAAAGAACATGTGCAAATGCACATGGCGTAAATTCAAAGGACCAAAAAAAAAAAAAAAAAAAAAAAACACGAAAAGAAAAAGAAAAGTACATGTAATCCAAATGAAGAATATAGCAAAATACTTATATTCAAATAATTGTTATTTTGTTGAATGAAACCTAACAATCCTTTGATCATCACTATGCCTAATATTAAAATAATTTAATATGAATTCATCACCATGAATTAAAGTGAATAGAGGATTCAAAACAAGCAAATAACTTAATCAAGCTAATTGATGTTCCTGATTTGTTGCACCTGAATTATTTTCCTCACTACCAAAGCTAAGTAACGAAAAATGCTCCTTGATATTACTTATTTTTGTGATCTCTACTCGTAATGCTCTTGTTGACCTCTAATCTTGCTACTCCCTCAATATTGGAGCTTGATTTTGTAATTTTGACCTCTATTTATATAATAGACCTTTACGTTCTTGTTCAAAATTTTAAGAGACATCAAATACTATTAAAGGTCGTAAATTTCAAAAGTTACAAAAGTTTTGTATACAACATGAAAATAATCAACTTTTAATAAAATTTAAGGTTGAAAATTCCAAGGGGGCGTTTTGTAGTCCTATCAACTATTAACAAAATGAAATGAAATTCAAGTAATTAGTGTCCACGAATTAGATTTAATGTATAGTGAAAAAAAAAAAGAGTTAAAGAAATACCTTGGAGATTTAAAGTATCAAAATAAAAACAATATAGTTTTAATAAAATTTAAAACTGAATATTAAATTTTTTGTTATGAATATTTTTTTTCTTCCATTAATATCATCTCATATATACATTTATATATTCTTATCTATACTACTGGTACACGTATGTGTGGCCGTACGTTTATTTTATTTTATTTTTTCTTGTTTTTTATTTATAATAATAAATTATGTATAATAGTATATATATAGATGGGTAACATTTCCTTTGTGTTGGAACACATTGACAGTTTGAATGAAATATGGAGTAGTTTACAATTTGATTTTGAAAGGTCTGTAATAATAGTAAAATATCATTTTTGGATAAAATGAACAAAAGAGCATAAACTTGACTTCCAATTTTGCCATCTTACCAATGAGATTCTTCCAAAATGGAGCAATTTTAAAGAATTAAACACACTAAAGTTACAGAATGGTCCTTCTATGTTGAGAGGTCTTTTTGTCTTTTCAGTAGTAAAGCCATTTTTGGATTACAGAAATTAATTAACAAACGGCACATTTCTCTTCTGTGTTTTTAAAATAACACTAAATATGGTAGGACAATTTCACATAAATTATATAATTTATTTTGATAAAATAAATAATTAATGACAGATATTCAAGGTCATCTGATGCACTGTGTGACCCACAAGGCCCTCTCACCCTAATGGATGAGATGATCTGGACATGGTTTTCTGTAAACTCGAGTAATTCCAATATATAGAATCCAACAAGGATGCACTTTGTGTCCCCCAAGACCCTCACTCTAATACATTAAAATGATCTGGATGTTTCTCCAAATAAGAATTTTTGTCACCTTTAAAAAAGTATAAAATCATTCCATAATAATAATGGATAGTCAAGTTTATTATTTTATTTGTTTCTGGGGGTATAACAGGTAGACCTGAAAATAGAGTGAACTTTAATTCGGATTTGAACCGAATCCGATCTGATTAGTCAAATATGAATTGAACAAAAAATCCGATAACTCGAGATAATCCGTTAGCTTAACATATCGGATATGGATTATGCTCCTTCGATCCAATTAAAATTATATATATAATTATTTATTAATAATTATATATATATATATATATATATATATATATATATAGCAATACTCCTATTAGAATTGTATTAGAGGTAATCCAAAAATTCAAAAAAAAAATAAAAAAATAAAAAAATCATAATGTTATATATACAATAGTGTGGTGTTCTCATTTACATGCTAATAAAACTCTTAATATATATACTAATAGTATCATAGTCTTTATTCATTAACAAAGAGTAAATAATTTTTTTTTTCTTTTCCTTTCATATTAGAATAAATATATCTATTTTTATTTTCCTTTCATGTTTTACTTATCTTTTGTTTTATATCTTTTTCTTATAATCATTGTGTTTTTATTCTCTTTTGACATTAATTTTATATATATATATATATATATAATTTTTTTAATATAAAATACCTACATTTTTATTGAATCGGATCGGATTATCAAATCAAATATTCATTTATTAACAAATCGGATTCGGATTAACTTACAAAATATTCGTCGAATTATCGAATCGGATTGGATTGACTAAAATGCTTATCGGATCAGGTCTAGATTTAGGAGGTAAGTTTTTTAGATTTCATTTTTGAATCACATTTCTAATTTGAATGGTGCTTATGTTATGGGATGTATGTACGTGAAAAACAAAAGTTTATTATTTCTTACAATATATAAAGTCCAACAAGGATTTTTGTCACCTTTTAAATGTAGCATAGAATTTCTTACTTGTTTACTTCAATCATTGATTATCACTTCACTCCATAACAAAAATCAATAATCAAGTTTATTGTTTTCTCTATTTAAAAATATATTAATAATTATGAAGAATCAAGTAAGAGAAAAAAAGGTAAAGTTAAATTTGCACTAAATATAGTAGGACAATTTTTAAAAGGAAAAATGATTATTTTGCTAAAAATCAATTGATGTCAGATACTCAAGGTCATCTGATGCACTGTGTGGCCAAATACATCAAAATGATAGTGACTTTGACCACTATAGAGTTTTCACAAAATCACGCAACTCCAATGGAGTCCAATAAGATTTTTTGTCACCTTTTAAAAAGTATAAAATCATTCCATAGCAATAAGGGATGGATAAGTTTATTATTTTATTTCTCTCCTAGTAGCTCGTTGACAGTTATTCAGAAGGTAAGTTCTTAAAATTTCATTCTCAAATAATACCTTTAACTTAAATAGTACATGTGTTATGACGTTCGGAGATTGACTTAATTACTATTATTTACAAATATTAATAGTAATTAAGAAAAGCAAAAAAAATAGAAAACAAACTTGATTTATACTAATACTCTATTTGGTAAGAAAGTAAAAAATTTGGATGAAAGGGGGACAAGAAGGGCTGGATTATAGGGAAAAGATTGTGTATTTTTTTTTTTGTTTGGTTGGATAGAAGAAAATAAAATAAAAACTTGTATTAGTTAGGAGAAAATGAAATAAAAAGTTTTAATTATTTTTACCATTATATCTAATAATATTTATAATATTATAATTAAAAACTTATATAATTTAAGATAATATTTACTTTAAATTTTTTATAATAGCTTATTTATCTTTCGTCCTATATATATATATATATATATTTTTTTTTCCTTCATCATTTCTACAAAACAAAGAAAGTTAAGTGTTTTTTCCCTTTCTCCACACCTCTGTATGATTATGGTAAATTTAAAGGGTAAATTACACTCTACTTTTATTACATGTGGTGATCAAGATTAAATGTCCTTTTTACCCCTGAATTTTAGGAATACGAGCGTATAAAAAAAAATATTTAGCTCGCGGAGGAACGCGCGTGTTAATCACGACACTAAAAAGAGGTTACCGGGAAACCAAGATTGAATTGAACGTTCACGAAAAAAGAGCTAACGGAGAGAGGGAGAGATATACGAACTTGTACATATAGGTTGACAGCGAAACAATCAGGTGGTTTTTATTCTAGAGAGAGAAAGCAGAGCTTCTTCATTCCCGAGGCGTTCGCAATCCTCACTTGTCTGCAACATTCACAGAAACCATCCCTCTCAGAAGGTATAAACATCTCTCTAGCTCCAAAACCCTCTGTCTCTCTCTCAAATATAGCTAAGGTACTACTTGAATTAGAATTTCGGTTCTAAATCTGGATTTCACGTCGAACATTCCAACTCTTGAAATTCATCTTACCGAGAATGTCGTTCATATTCCGAATTAAGCAATCATTTTAGCCCGTAATTTTACACAATCGTCCCCATACATAACACACATATACGAGTATTGAGTATATGCATAAATATATCTATATCTATATATATATATATATATTTGTATGTATGTATTTGTTTATGTTTGTAGATTTTTGTTAGCTACTAATTTCAAATTTATATCCTGATTTCATTTACCTCTTTCTTCTGGATGAATGAAAGCGCCGCTTGTAATTTTCCGGATAAGTTTGCTTTGATTGTTGATGATTTAGAGGATATATATATATAGAGAGAGAGGGTTTTATGTACAAATGCGCATCTCCTTTTCTTGCTCTGTTTTTTTTAATTATAATTCAATCAGCTTCTCAAAAGCTTGTAGATGGATATAGATATACACACAAATGCACACTTTTATGTGTATGTATGCATGTTTCCTTTCTTTTTCTGTATTATGTTAGGAAATTTCATTCAAATAAAACTTTCAATCCAAATTTATGAGTTCAGAAAATTTATGTTCTAATGAAAATTTACAGCCCTTAATTTAATTTTTATATAAGATTCTTATATCTGCTTATTCGCTGACCCCAAGTAGTTGGGAAAAGGGATTCTGCTGTTTAATTCATTTGAAAGAAACAGCTGTTGACAAAAGTTGAATGTATTGACATATCAAGGTTTGGCACATTAAAGAAGGCATTTTGAGCAGAGAGATTTAGAGAAAATGAAGAATGCAGTTTCTGACCAGAGCTTTTACATTGAAAGCGAGGACGAACATGAGGAAAAGGAAATTCACGAAGATGATGGGAATTATTCAGATTCCTCCACTAATTCGGATAGAAACCAGGAGCAGAGCAAACCCAATTCTTACAACACCACATGGCCTCAAACTTACAGGTAAACTTCTCCCTCCCTCCCTCCTTCCCTCTCTCTCTCTATCTCTCTCTCGTGTGTGGTAAGTGTTGTTTTTATGTTATACTGTATTCAAATTTATTAGTTGTTACCAAGGTAGGTACTTCACGGCCTTCCAAAATAGAAGGTCGAGGGTTCAAGTCTGCAAAGTGGGTGTGCGTGTGAGTCTCAACTAGGGAAAAGAAAATTTCATTAGTTGTTTCTATGTTCTGCTTTATTATTTTTGGTGTGTGCGGAGTATGGTATGTTTTGTCTACTAGACTTTCTAGTCACAATTTTTGGAGACCCTAAAATTCCCTGGTCAAGCACCAAAATGTCTATCACAAAAACTCATAATTGCCTACCTTTCAACCTAAATATTATAGTGATGTTTGTAGTCCAGTAAAAGAGTTGGGTCGTTATTTTTTGGGACGGGGATTTCTGGCATTCAGAAGTGCTTTAGAGTTTAGATCTTTGGTTCCGAAAAATGACAAAAGACAACTCTGCGGACACCCAAAATACACACAACAAAAGATAAGAAAAAAGGAAAAGGAAAAGAAGTCCACCGAGAGTTTTAATTTGTGTTGGCATTAATTTGGGATATTGGCTGAAACATTAGAGTTGAAGTTATTATTATTATTATTGTTGTTGTTATTATCATGGTTGTAATTGTTGAATATTTTTCCCTGTGTTGCTTCCTTCTTTATTAGCATATATATTGGAAACTATTGAATTATATGCTAATTAATAAAAACTATGTATGTATTGAAAATGGTATAAAAGTCTTTATTTCTTAGGTGTATCAATTAATTAATTATACTCAATATCCTGATATGTTAGTTTTTTTCTGTATAGTGCACTGCTCATATATCTTGCTCAGACACTTAATAGTTTTTTGTTTCAATCAATGTTTCAGGCAATCAATTGATCTGTATACTAGTGTACAATCTCCAAGTCTTCAGTTTTTGGGCACTCCTACATTATCAAGATTTGGCAGTTCATTTTTTGGTTCATCCCCTTTGATTAAACCTCTATTACCAACCGCAGTAGACGAGCAACAGCCACAGCAAAGGCGTAGTTCTCATTATTTGCCTCCTCCTATTCCATCAAGGAAATCTTTTGTAAAGAAGGCGAGTTCTGACCAGAAATCCTTTAAGGTCTCACATGAGGCCCCAATCTCTCGCCATAGCTCATTTGGCCAAGCTGTGCTAAATGGTATGTTATAGAACATGATCTTATTTCACTTTTGTTGAATGAAGGTGCAGATGGTTAAATATCCTTTGATGGAAAAAAAGTAAATTGTAAAGTTGAACTGCCATATAAAATTGTGTTTTCATTCTCATGAAGACAAATCATCCAGTTCTATGTAAACTGTACCAAATCCATTTCGGTAAAATAATTTTTTTTTTTTCTCTTGTGGTTTCACCAAGGCATGAATGTCCTATGTGGAGTTGGAATTCTTTCTACTCCTTATGCTGTTAAAGAAGGAGGATGGGTTGGGCTTTCTGTATTGTTTATCTACGGATTGCTTTCTCTCTACACTGGGATCCTCTTGCGCTACTGCTTGGATAGCGAACCTAGGCTTGAGACTTACCCGGATATTGGTCAGGCTGCCTTTGGTACTGCGGGACGTTTCGCCATCTCAGTAAGTCTCATTAATTCTTTCTTTTCCTTTCTTCTCATATATTGTTTTGTAGATATTCAACAAATTTGTTTGGAGAAGCAAAAAATTAAAAGAGGTTTGGTAATCTTTATATACAGAATTTTTTGCTCTATAAAAGAAAAAAAGGCACAACTCTGGCCCTCTTATGGCAGGGGAGCAAGAAAACCTTTGATTTACAGCATTGTTCTTTCTCCAACTTAATTTGAAAAGTTGTTCTATTCATTGCAATGCTTCTTCATTCCCATCTTTCATCAATTTCCAGAGTTAATGGAATAATTTGATATAATTCATATAACAAGTAGTTTATACATCCATGCCAATGTTTGATAGTTCTATTTCTATATAATTTTCCTGCAATACGATATGATCTATTGGGTGAAATATATATCTAAGTTGTGTAGACTGAAAATTTAATATTTTCTATGGCATTGGCTTTTAAAATGGAAAGATAATTGTTGAGAGTTGCAGAAATAATGATGGGAAGTGACTTATTTTCTGACAGAAATTATGAAGGGAGAGATAAATTCCAGATGGTAAAAGTTTGAAAGCAAAAAATGGAGAACTATCTCTTTTATTTGTTGATTTTTTGAAAAATTTACAGGAATGCATTACGGGCTGCTGACTGTGTGTTTGGTTTTGTGTTGTTTTTCATGGCTGCAGATAATATTATACGTGGAGTTATATGTAAGTACAGCTGGCTAAATTGAGTGCGTGTGTGCGCACACATTTGTTTTTTATCCTTGTATTACTTTTATCCATATTTTGAGGCCTACTATAGTTGCATTGCATTTTTCAGACAAATTTCAAATCTACGCAAGGTACGTGGAACACATGCATTTTGTTTCAGTGAGGACTACCCAGGTCTTGCTTAGTCCTTCAGTTTGGAGCGTAATGTCCGTTTCCTACTTGAATCTCTGACTAATAGCTTGTCTGTGAGACATTAAACTGACCAAAGACCATGTGCTAGTTTCATTCATGTACATATGACTTTTGTTTGGAATTGCCACAGCCCTTTGATGCTTTTATGAATCAGTTATTTTTCTATCTTTAATGACCATGTGATCATGGGTTCACTTTCTTGTTATATATTGAGAGCTATGTCAACTTCGTTGAGGGAACTTGGGAGCTACCACTTAACATAAAGAACGATATTGAATCAGATTGTAAATTTAATCAATCAGGCTGCTTTATTTATCACTTTTCGACCAAGTTGAACCTATTGCCCGGTGTTTCTTGATCATTTTTCAAATGCTGATATGTCATGATTTGGTGATTGTGATGATTTATATTCGGAAAAGAGGGAGATTTGAGTGGTCTTCTGCCTCTAGCACTGCAGACGTGAAAGAACTAAAATTAAAAAAATTATTTTCATGGACCTGTCATGTTAGTGGGCTACAGTTAGCCTCTGTATTGCTGGCCCTGTTGAGCATTTTTCATTTCCCTCCCTGTGAAGCATTGCCATCGTCAACTGCACAAGTACGTTGGCCATGTCAACCTAAAAGTTGCATGAGACTCTATCTGGATAAGTACCATTAAGGATTCTCATTTCTCACCACACAATCTAAAGGTTGAGTGTTCAAATCCCACTGGGGCCACCCCAGGAATTTTTCCAGTAATTGCCCGGTGCATATGAGATGGGGGTACTGCATGTATCCGGTGGTGGATTATGGGATGCTGTACAAGGCCCAACACCACCATCGTCGGCAAAAAAGAAAAAAAAAATACCATTAAGGAGACAAACTTTTTAAAATTAGTATAAAATAAACCCTCTTAATTAATGTATTTTGACTGTCTGATTTCTTTGATTCTTCCTTTTTACCCCCCTCAACAGTGTCTCCACGGCTTAAAAACTGATATAAGAACTGAATGACTCGTGATGTCATTTACAAGTGATATTTGGAACACTTAAATTTGGGGTTAAATATCAAGGTAGAACCATTATATGGCTACTTCTAATCCTTGATGCTAGTACGTAGAGACATTGTTGATTGGCAAACTACACAGATAATATGTAAAAGATAAGAAACATATATTTGATAAAGGTCTGTTCCTTTGCTAGAACTTAGCTATCTCTTTATTACATTTCATGATGTGTGTGAATTTCTTTAAATCATTTCCTATTTGCTCCAATTTAAAACCCCAATTTTCATCATCATCATAGGATATCCTTGCCTTTTTCCCAAATTAATGGAGTCGGCCTCATGGATTCTCTTTCTCCATTCTATTATATTATTTACCATGTCTCCTCTAATATTTAATGCTTTAAAGTCATTTTTAATTACTTCATTCCATATTTGTTTTGGCCGTCTTCACTTTCTCTTACCTTCTATGCAAACTAGTCTTCCTTTTCGGTGCATCAACGGGCCTAAGTTCTATATGTACATGCACCTAAGTCTATTTTCTCAAATTTTATGGCTAATAGGTGCTACTCCTAGAATCTCCCTCACATTTTGATTAGTAAAACTATCTTTCCTAGTCACTCTTATCATCCACCTCAACAACACTCTGCCTCTTTTAATATTGTTGTCCTAATAGCCATCCTATAAAATTTTCCTTTTAACTTCGTTGGTATTGTTTTATCACATAAAATACCACTAGCTTGTCTCCATTTAGTCCAACCTAGTTCAACGCTACTAGTAATATCATCATCTATTTCCCCATTTTCTTGTACTAATAATCCTAAGTATCGAAAATGATGATTTTTAGTGACCTTATGGTCTTGGATTGCTATTGTTATATTGTTACTTTCCGATTCTTAAATGAATTTACATTCCATATATTATGTTTTAGTTTTACTAATTTTTAGACCTTTTGTCTCTAGTGCATTTCGCCAAGTTTCTAATTTATACTCAAGTTTTCCTTTGAGGTATCCACCAACTCTATGTCATCCTCAAACAACATGCACTATGGCATGTCTTCTTGTATATCTTTTGTTATTTCATCTAAGACTAGTCTAAATTGGTATGGGCTAAGTACTGATCTTTGGTGTAACCCTACTTTTATAGAGAAATTGTTAGTTTCTCCACAAACAGTATGGACTCTAGTCTTTGTATCCTCATACATATCCTTAAAAATGCTAATAAGATTTAAAGGGACTCTTTTTCTATGTTAGGCCCACCAAATTATATCTCTTGGAACTCTATCATATGCCTTCTCTAAGTCTATGAAAACCACGTGTAGATCTATTTTCTTACTTCTACATTCTTCTATCAAATGCCTAAGTAAATGGCCTCCATAGTAGATCTTCACATAAGATCAAATTGATTTTTGAACACTGTGTTTTCATTCCTTACCCTTTGTTCTATAACCCCTTCCCACAATTCCATTGTATGACTCATTAATTTTATTCCTCGATAGTTACTACAATTTTGTATATCACCTTTATTTTTGTGATTTGGGACAATCGTAGTTTTCCTCCATTCATTAGGTATCATTCCTTCTTTTAAAATTTTATTGAATAAACTTGTTAGCAAGTCTATTCCCACGCTTCCTAGAGTTCTCCAAACTTCTATTGATATGTTATTAGGCCCCACTGCTTTGTTATTACCCATCTTTTTAAGTTCATCCTCTATTTCTCTCTTATTGATCCTATTTATCATTCTCATATTATGTTCATCACGTGTAATTTCTTCTTTAGAATGTTCCTCATTCAAGAGTTGTTGAAAGTATTCTTTCCATCTATTTAATATGTCCTTCTCTTTAACTAATATTTTTTTCATCTATATCCTTAATGCACCTAATTTGATCCATGTCTCTAGTCAATCTATCCCTACTTTTTGCTAATTTATAAATATCTTTTTCACCTTCCTTTGTACCCAATTTTTCATACACTCTATTTAACGCATATTCTCTAGCTTTGCTTACCATCTTCTTTGTTTCACTTTTTAATTTTTTAGATTTTTCTAAATCCTCTTGTTTTTTGATTTTTTTGCCATTCTTTAAAGCTCTTTCTTTTATTTTGAACAATTTGTTGTACCTCCTCACTCCACCACCATATTTTTCCTTTTCGATAAATTTCTTACCTTTAGTCTCTCCTAGAGTCTCCTTAACTACCTTCTTTGTATGATGCAATTTTGGACCATAAATTATTTATGTTTTCATTCGAATTCCATTGTTTTCCTTGTCCAAATTGCTTTCTAAATGTCATCTTTTTATCTCCTTTCAACTCCTTCCACTTATGGTTTATTGGCCTCTCATTGCTTTTTGGCGTCTAATTCGTTTGATTGACAAGTGTAATATAGTCTATGTTGGTTTGTTAGACACCCACCGGGAACTACCTTACAATCTTTACATGCACATTCCATTCCCCTCTTCTATATAGACAATAATTAATTTGTGTTTTATTTAAACCACTTTAGAATGTTATTAAATGTTCTTCTATTTATTTTTATTTTTAAATGTATTTACTATGGCTAAGTCATATGACTTCGCGAAATCTAAAAGTGTTTCTCCTTCCTCATTTCTTACCCCAAAACCATACCCTCTATGAATCCTTGTGTATCCTGTTCTCTCAACTCCTACATGCCCATTAAATTCACCGCTTATAAATATGATTTCATGTCTTGGTACACTTTGTATTCATTAAGTCTAGTGATTTCAAAAATTTCTTTTTTGTGTTCTCGCCTAATGCTCTTTGTCGGGCATAGGCATTTATTATATATAGGCTATAGCACTAAGTACCTACAACAAATTTTATAGTTATTAGTCTATCTCCTTGTCTTCTAACTTCTACCACGTTATCTCTTATATAATGGTCTACCACTATGCCTACCCCATTCCAATGATTATCTTCACCACCCGAATAGAAAAGTTTATACCCTTCACCGATCTCTCTAGCCTTTTCACCTTTCCATTTAGTCTCTTGGAGACAAGCTATGTTGATTTTTCTCCTTTTTTTTTTTTTTCGTATCCATAAGTTCACTACATCTTCCCGTTAAGGTCCCTATATACCATGTTGCTAAACTTATTTTCTATCTTTTATTATTTTTAGTTTTGTTATTATAACAAGAATCCATCATAAAGGATTGACTTAAATTTTACTGCCGGCTGCCTACCTGACACCAACCCACCTCTTTCAGTGGGGAAAAAGATATCTAGTTCTCAATTTAAAGATAAATATATATAAATATGTTAGTACTCTTTTCCTTTTCTAGTTTAATGAGTCTCCTAGTCATAAGCAACATAATATTATACTTTTACATCAAATGAGCTATCTTTTGTCTACCCTAATACACAAAAATAAATAATGCAATAGATAAAATGTCTGTGTATATAATACAATATGTATCTGACCTATCTATGTACAATAAATAAATAATACAATAAATAAAACCCCAAATTTCTTCGTCCTTTTTTTTTTTACACAATTATCACTAGGTACCAAGCTTGGTACAAAATTTGGTAAAATCAAACATATAAGTTCATAAGGTGACGCATTATTAAGTTTAAAATTTAAAACTTTCTTATATTGAGTTATCACGCTTAGGCGTTTTTTCTCAAGTGGGTGTCACCAATTTTTTCTGGCATTTACTCCTTTGTGCTCTTTGCTTGATATCAGAAAATGGAAAATGCTTGGTTATAACATTTTTCATTGACTACAATATGTCATGGTTGCTTATAAAGACCATGGAGAACCAAGTTCATCTGTTGTGAATTTAAGTAGTTTATTGATCCAAGTCAGCAGGTTAATTGGTCTGGTGAAATTTTTAGTATATTTAGCAGCTCTTAATCAAAATAGGACCTGGCAGGTAGAATTTTGGGAAAGAAATAATTTGCCAGAAACAGTGCTATACATTATTTTACCTTTTGTTACAAAATCAGTTAAAAGTATCCATCTTTTTTAATTTAAAAGTGCTGCTTATATTTCCAGTAAGAGTAGTATTTTTAATTCCGTGAAGCATTTTGCTCTTTTTTTTTTTTCTCTCTCTCTTTCCCCTTCTAAACCAGCAAAGGTTTTTATGCGCCCATCATTTTGATATTTTGTTGAATTATTTTTTAGGGAAAACTACGTATAGGTAGAGTTAGGAGTCCTAAATAACAAAATAGTCTATTTTAAAGTTCAATTTTCAATTTGACTGAATTAAATAAAATAATTACAAATACATCAAAAATTATTATTAAAGTCTAAAATATCCTCCAAACTCTTATTTCAAAATACCAAAATATCCTTCATAAGATAATATAATTCCAAATTAAAGCCTCTTTAATTCCTGTTTATTTCCTTCTCCAATATATATATATCAAAGTAAGTTGTCCCAAATTATCTATCTGTTCAAAGTGATTGAGTGCATAATCTATACTAAGACCAAATTCACGAATAAAAATTAAAAAGTAAAAAAATAAACAAACTCCCCAAAAGAAGTGAGGTAATTTTGAAATCAGTCCATTGCAGGTCCTCTCAATGTTGGAGAAAAGTATTCTAACTAGCTACTAGGAAAGAAAAGAGAGATTCTTGCAGGTCTTCTCAAGAGTTTCTAGCTTGCTTTTTCAAACCCAAATCAAAGAGTTAGAAGAGGAACAGATTATTACAACCCTATGGGGTGTATCCAAGTAGGAAGGAATTAATCTATGGAAATCAACAAGGAAAAGACGAACCACTGGAAGAGGGTATTGTAGATTATAACAAATGAGAGGCTATCATATTTTGTACCTACACCGATAGAATAATATAGCGAATGTGTAAAATAAATTTAGGTTTGTAAGGGACTCTGTAATAGATCGTCTCTTGTTGCAATGGATTCGATTCGTTTTTTATGGATTTTCTTCTCTAATGTACAACGCTTCCTTCAAGTACAAAAACCACATATCAAGATCCGATAATTTCCTTTTATATATATATATATATGTTGGAATTATATGATATTAAGAATGATATTTTGGTATTTTGAAATGGATGATATTAAAAAGAATATTTTGATATTTTGGAATGAGAGTTTAGAGGGTATTTTGGACCTTAACAAAAATTCTTGATGCATTTGTAATTATTTTGTTTAATTCAATCAAATTGAAAAATGAATTTTTAAAATAAACTATTTTGTTATTTAATACTCCTAATTCTACCTATATGTAGTTTTCCCTATTTTTTAACTAAAATGTGGAATATAATCATAAGATTTTGGCTCTCTCTCTAAGTGCTGGGGAACATCATCCATATCTCGTAGACTTGCTAAGCATCATTTATATTCCTATAGCACTGCAGGTCACCAATCCAGATTTTTTCTCCTTGCAGGCTTCTTGCGTAGACTACTTAATTTTGGAGAGCGACAACTTGTCATCACTATTTCCAAGTGCTCATTTAAATTTGGGAGGATTTGAATTAGACTCACACCATCTGTTCGCATTGTTGGCGACGCTTGCTGTTCTTCCTACTGTTTGGCTCCGTAACCTGAGTGTTCTTAGTTACATATCTGGTGACTATATTATTTCTTAGCATTATATTTTGAGCAAATTTTAGATTTTAATCTTCTCAGCTATACTCTTTCAATTTTTTCTATATTCAGTCACATTATGCTACATTATGGATCTGGGAGGACTGCATTCTCATACCAGTTAAAATTGCTGTATAACATAGTGATTCCATTTTGTCATTGCATGGAACGGGTGAAACAGTTGCTCAGTCTGTCACGTGGTGGTTGCCTGGTTGGTAAATCAAGTTGATTGCTTTAGGTGACAGAGAAGTGATAAGTATTCTCTATTGATTGATACTTATCATGCTGCAATGCAAAGTCCCACCATTATTTAGGCCGCAGCTATTATAACGGGATAAGATGATTATGGTCATCTGAATACAGGCCTGGGTCCTAAACTGTATGTACAATGGTTAATTAGACTGCATCGTGATGCTGAGACCCTTATGGGCCTTTTTGGTAGGTTAAAGATCTATAAGCTTAAAAAAGTTTTCCAAGTCTTCTCATTCGTGCCAAAACGTATTTGGGTATTTATTTGTGTATGGTGTGCATTTCAATTAATTTGACCTGCATTATCCAAATGCATCATGAAAAATTCTTAATTGTTCTTCCTTTGTTTCCAGCTGGCGGAGTAATTGCATCAGTATTGGTGGTCATCTGCTTGTTTTGGGTTGGCTTGGTGGATCATGTTGGCTTGTATGACAAAGGGACAACGCTGAATCTCACTACTTTTCCTGTTGCTATTGGTCTATATGGCTTCTGCTACTCAGGACATGCTGTCTTTCCCAATATATACACTTCAATGGAAAACCGTAACCAATTTCCAGCAGTCCTATTAACTAGGTATCTAAAAATACTGAATCATCTCATGTCTCATCAAAATTCAGAGGTTAAAACACATTTTATTATAAAATAGTTATTTGTTCAATATACATGATCAGATAAATGCTTATCATCTTTACATTTCTGTTTGAAACTTCAAACATTTTAACAGAGTATTTATGACTCTTAAAGTTTGTTTACCTGTAGAATCCTTCACAATATCCTCTCTTGAGTAGGTTGACAATTAGTTCAGATAATCCTTGCATGAAACCACACTGGCATCCTGCCACTATGTCTGCTTTATGAGTACCATATGAGAATGGGGACAAAGAATAACCAATAGCTATAATTTGTGAAACATGAACATCAAAATAAGATGTGGTCAGGAAGTCAGAGGACACGGACATGCTGACTTGGAAACCTTTAAAATGTAGGACATGGAAAAGGATGGAAATGCCAACAAAGCTATACTTTTATATATGGAAAATGTTTATTTATTATTTATTAAAGAATCTAACGCTGTAAAATTACATAGGGTAATTTATGAATCATAGCAAGTATCAATCACCTATTTTGCACAAACACAGGCATGCTGAGGGCCTGGAACTATGTTTATGCATGTCTGTACTTACAAATGGATCTTGTGTACTTGACTTCGTTCTTTCTTCCATCCTTCCTTTTTTAATAAAACATCGATGCGTTTTTCTTTCACTTCTTTAAATGTAATAAAACGTATTAGTAAATTTAACATAAATATTATATTTTACTCTTTAAATTATTGACATGTCTAAGATGTCAGACAGGTGTTCAACATGATACTAGGAGTGCTGCATCCGATACGAAGTACCCGTGCTTATTAAACTATGGCATCTAAAGATTCTAATATCCCTACATTGGACTTCCTTATAGTTTTAGAATTTGTCTTATTATTCTTATCTCAAAATTCTTTTTGATTGCAGTTTTGGTATCTGTACTTTGCTGTATGCTGGAGTTGCTGTGATGGGATACTCAATGTTTGGAGAATCAACATATTCCCAATTCACTCTTAATATGCCCAAAGATTTGGTTGCCTCAAAAATTGCCGTATGGACTACGGTAGGTCAAGTATAACATAGTTTTAAATATCTTCTAAGAATTCTTATGTATGCAAATGTTATTTCATTCATTATCATTTTATTCCTGCAACTGTGTTAATTGTGTGGACTACGTTATGCAGATATGGTTTTAATCTAAATTTCTTCTAAAAGTTTGTATTTATATAATGGTAATTCAATAAATTGTTTTTTTTGGGTAAAACTGTTTATTGTTATTTTCCTACAACTGTGATACCTTTTTAGTCAAATAAGTCGAGTGACACATTCCAACTGGGAATTGTGCTCTCTTTTAGCTTTATCTATTGTCAGGGTATCTAGGAAATAAAGCTCATTAGAAATGGCTGGCCATTAAAACGTAAATTTTGTGTGTTCTTGGGCTATCCTCTTTTCTTGTGCACTTTAGTGATTCTTCTACTTACAATGAAAATAAAGATTATAAAATAGAAGTAGTTAGAAACTCATAAAATCATCTCAACTCAACACAAAAGACTTGTGCCAACTAATCGGTCGGCTACATGGACTCTGTTCTACAATTACCATATCTTTCCTTGCTATCTCAGCTCTTGCTAGTTTTGGTCTTCCGACTCTTATTGCATTACCTTTCAATATGGACTATGGTACTCTTCCTCTCTGGTACATTTATTAATCTCCATTATAGCATGTCAAATCATCGTAATCAGTTTATTCTGGAAATCTATTTAATGCTACTCAAGTATTTATGAATGTGTTCATTTATAATTTTATCCTCTCTGGTCTTATTACACATTCATCGTAATTTTTGCATTTTGAGAATGCTCATTTTATGGCAATGATAGCTTTTGTACCATGAAGGATGGTGGTGTTATATAGTCTTTATAAATTTTTGTTCATTTTCATATGTATACATCAGTCATGTAATAAAAAAACTCACTATTAAAATGATAGTGGTTCAACCCCACTGTTAATCACCCAGATCTTGAGCTCTAATTATAGTTTGAGTTCAGTGAATCAATGGGTGCAAAAAATCCCAAGTTGAGTTGTAGCTCAGTTCACTTTAAAGTTTCATTGTTATGAGTTGTTTTTGTGCATGTTTTGATATTAGCCTTTAAATCTCAGTTTGTGAATTGGTGGTTTTAACTTATAGTTGCTTTTTGCCTTTTGTTTCTGCAGGTAGTTAATCCATTTACCAAATATCCTTTTTCCAAAAAATAAATATATGTGGACAAATGCTGTAGCAGAAAGTAACTCTTTGCATCTATTACCATTCTATTTGGAACAATTTATATGGGACACGAAATGACTTAATTAAAAAAAAAAAAAATTATAGTTCAGATTTCAGATAAAAATGTAGGTATAAAAGAATTATATGGTAAATGAGAGAAAAATTACTACAGTTTATATTCTTCCATAATGAGCATGGAAGTGAATCTATTTGAGGTGTAGTATTTGCAGCTTTGCTCTCTTTTTTCCTCAACTAGAACCAAATATGCATTAACCTTATCTCCGGTGGCAATGAGTCTGGAGGAATTGATGCCGTCAAACAATGTCAAATCTCACGTGTATGCAATTATCATTAGAACAGCATTGGTGATTTCTACCTTGATTGTGGGTCTCACCATCCCCTTCTTCGGTAAGTCTTCATCCTGGGTTGTTGACATGATGTTATGTTTAGAACCTTGGTCAAAACTCATTTATTAGTTGGTCCTGCTAAACCATTTCATAGATGTTGTACTGTTTGGGAAATATCCCTTACTTTTTTATTTCTCTCTCACTTTTACTTTGCAACAATTAAATTATAGCATCACTGTATCTCTTTCTCATTTTACAGGTCTGGTGTTGGCACTGATTGGATCTTTACTCACAATGCTAGTAGTAAGTTTTTTTTTTTTTGGTTATCTCTGCCCGTTGGATTCTCTTGCTTTTTTTTTTTTCCTTTCAAATAAATCAAATTGAAACAAACCAAGCCTGGTTTAGTAATTAAAACTTCTATGGCAGACCTTGATACTTCCTTGTGCTTGTTTTCTGAGCATCATGAAGGGAAAAGTAAATCGTATTCAGGTACATCCAATTTTTTCCCCTCTATCTACACTGATGCAGTTATAATTCCATTTAGTTTTGTTAGTTATGCAACTTTTACCCCCTTTCCAAATCATATTTCATGTTATCTGCAACTGCATGCCAAGCATTATAGGCATTTGATTTTGTGAGAAAGGTTGCATAGTGTATAAAAGTGTGCATTATAGGCATTTGATTTTGTGACATAGTGTGCATAGTGTCCGAAAGACGTTGGTCCATCTCTATTGGGCAGGTTTCTTCCAAACAACCATTGGTGGTAGTTAGTTGTCCCAGCAGGGTCTAAACGAAATAGTTCATGCTTTAACTCCCCATCTTATATCCTTCAAAACTTTTTGTTGTTGGCACCGACGTGAGAAATATTACCTTGTACTGCATTGTACAAAAGTTGAATCAGAATTGAATCTTTGTGCCATTTTAAAATTGATTCCATATCTCCTTTAGAATTTAGCTTTTCTCTTGCTAGGTTACCAATAAAATACAAGAAGATTGTTCTAATAAGGTGTATGGCCCCGACAGAGGGGAGTTCGAATCTTTCATCAAGCAGCCATAAAATAGTTACTCGTATTTACAAAATGAGTGATCCATAATAAGTTATTTGCATGTGAATAGAATGCCCTTTTGCTTCGCTAACTTTCTTTCCCTGGAAAATAACTCCCACTGTCAATGCTTTTGGGGAGACCAAACCGTCTTAACTTCCACCTTGAAAAGAAGAGGTACCACTAGCCCACATGCCATGGTTGCTTCACTAATATTCCATTTGGTTTCTCATACCAGTCTACTCTCCCCACTCATTGACCTAAATTGGCTAATAAATTATTAGCTTATCTGAAATGAACATGCGTGTTTATTGAGTAAAAATGACTTGTAAGAATTCTAATATCACTACTCCGTTTGGATACACTATCATTTCTCTCATTTTAAACAACCCAAACACAATCTACACTATCCTATCCTTTCCTTTCTTTTCTTTTCTCTCACTATCCCTCCAAATATCTCAATCCAAACGTAAATGAAGACCAAAATTGCCATAGAGCTTCAATTGTTCCCTTAACAAAATCAATCACAAGTTTGGACTAACATTAAATCTCTCTATATTTGTTGCTTTATATTTGATCGACATCACACCACCAGTCCACCTCTTAGAAAATTTGTATTCTAACAATTTTCTTACCAAAGGGAACAAAACTAAATGTTATATATCTGGTTACCAAGAAGACGAGAGGATATGAAATCCTAGAACAGCCACTTTTTCCCTTACTGCTGGTGAATACCCTTTTTTTTTTAGTTTCCTGCATGTCCAAGGCTACGGAGCTGACTATATATATATATATATATATATATATATATATATATATATTTAAAAAAGTAGTAGAACATGAAAGGATGCAGTTCATGGAACCTGACTTGTCTGACCTATATACTCTTTTTTGCTTATGCTAATTAATGACTCAGTTTTTTATTAACAATTTTTATTTATTTTTGGTAGGTGTCGCTCTGTGTACTTATTATTACAGTAGGTGTTGTATCGTCGGCCTTTGGAACCTATTCAGCACTCTATAATATTATTAAGACTTTCGGCTGAAGCTTTTGGTAATGTCTCCAACAATGAGAGATCTCTATGCACTATGTGCTTTTTTATTTCTTTGGGGGACTGATATTGTAGACTAGTTTGTGGATTTTCTGTCATTTTGTTCTCTGTAATTTTCTATCTCCCATTCTTAGTCTTAGAAAGAAAAAACTGCATCTATTTTTTAATCACAGTGTCCTTGAGAGAGCCGTGAAGAGCTCCACACCCAGGTGTTTGGTGGACATCAGTGAAGAAGTGAGACCTTCCTTGTCATGCGTTTGTTCAGTGAGGTTGAAAATGACTCTTTTTTTTCTTTTTTATTAATTTGAAAATTTATTCATGCTATTCTGGGTAAGTGCAAAATTTTTTTTTTTTTAGTTAAAAAGTAAGCTTGTATATATAGAGAAAAGGTATAGAGAAAAGGTGAATAATGTACAAGGAGTGCCCCAGAGGGCACCAAAATGAGTTACAACAGGCAAAAGCCTACAACCAGCTTAAACAACTTGAAGAACCTTCCAAGGATAGCCCAAAAAAAAACTTTGCTATATACAAAATCTGCAAATAACCCGTGCTCAAAGAAAACCACCCACATTTTTCCAGCAAATAAGGACAATTCTTCAATTTGAAGACCGAAATATCTAAAATGCATTTAGGACACCCAAAAAAAAAAAAAAAGTGATTTCAGCAACGGTTGCCGTCTTTTTAATTGCAAAATAAGAATTATAGGTAATCGTGCGTTACATTACAATATATATGGATGTTATATATATTAGTTATATAATATATATTAATTATTTACCAATATATTAATTTGATTATGTATATATTATGCACCATTCTATATATTAAATAAACTCACTCTATGTTATATATATGTTAAGTGAATATGATTTTAATCAAAATTCAATTCGATTCAAATCCAAGTTAAATAAGATATGGATTAAAACATTCAATTCCATAACTTGTTGGCGATCCGAATTTGATAATTCATTAACTTAACAAATCGGATATGAATTTAATCAATTTCGTTGACCTATGAATGACTTGCCAGATTGAATGTTTCAATCCACCAAGTTGATTCCATTAGATTATTGAATTGGTTTGATGATATAGTTTGAACCAAATAAATTACACAATATGAATATTTTGTGGTTTGATGTTGGGTTTTCTATGTGTGTCTTCCTCTCTCTCTCTCACGGGACTCTTCCAAAAAATATATATACATATGGTATCACATGAAATCAGTCTTGAGTCACTTAGATAAAAGAAAGGACGGTTTAATATTTTTCATTTTGGGTACAAATCTATATAAATAAATAAATAGTAATATAAAATATATGGGTAAAACTATAAAATAATAAATTATAGCGGCGGTTAAGTGCAATTATGAATAAAATAAAATAAAAGAAGTTTTATAAAATAAAATAATGAAATTTTTACTAATAGTTTGCTTCCCAAGTCACTACTTTCCAAATCTGATCAGGGGATTTTTGACCTATAAAATCTCTCCGGGCCCTCATCTCTCTCCTTCATCAAATGCTTTGCTGCCTCACTCACATTCAGAAACAACCCCCAACTCAAACCCGAAAATTAGCCTAAGCTGCCGACGCCGCCACAAAGCACCTACCACCGTTATCGCCGATAACAAAACAACCACCGCCGCCGCCCTAGCCAGAGCAGAACCATTGAGTTCTCGGGCTCTGCGTCGCCGCCCTTCTTCCTCTAAATCAAGCTCTGCAAACCAGTCATTGTCTTCGCCTCCGAAGGTAAAATCCTAATTCTTAATCAAAACCATCCTCGTTTTCAGAATTGCAACTTGTTAATCGCTGTAACTTGGTTTTCAGAAGGAAAGAGTCCCGTGGATTTGATTTTCTCGATTATTTTCTTATTGCTGTACTCTCTGTATCTAGGCTGAGATCCTTTCTTTCCAAAGAAAGGCTAAAGAAAATTCAAGAAGGTTCAACATGGAAGACTCTGCCATTACCAAGATTCCATCCGGCAAGTTTCAGCCCACTGACGAGGAGTTGATTCACTATCTTTCATGCAAGGCCAATGAAGCACCATTGCCATTCGAGAGTGTCATTCATGATGTATTTGACCTTTACGGCAAAGAGCTGTCGGAGCTTTTCCAGGAATCGAAAGAGAAGATTCTTTATTTCTTCACCAAGTTGAAGAAGAATTGATCATAGAAGAATTGGCCTTGCAACAAGACTGGAACTTGATCACAGAAGGAATCGAACCGGAACCAAAGGCCTTGCAACCAGAAAACTGTAACTTGATCACAGAAGGAATTGAACCGGAACCAATAATGGCCTTGCAACAAGAAGACTGCAACTATTGGGTGAACGGATTTGCCAAACAACTCCTCCATAATCAAGAAGAAATAGGAGAGAGTGAAACTAAGATTGCTGCCAAATATTTTTTATGGTGATAGTTGGTGCTTCTCAGAGAATGATGTAACCATTTTTTAAATTGGTGAGAATTTGAGTCAACTTTTCAGTTTTAGCAACTGGGTGTTGGGTTTTGCTAATTGAAGGTAGGGTTTTGATGGTGTAACGGCCGGTGTTTATGTTCAATTTTGAATTGATATTTGACTACTGTAATATGGGGTTTCTTTAGCTTTGGTTTTTACTTATCAAAAAAATAATATTTCAGAATATGTTGGGTTCTAAGTACTAACCATTTGATATGAATTTCTAGAACTGCTTATGATTGCGTAACTTTGGTTCATGGAATTTTGCTAGTAAATGGTGCTTATTTTTGGTCTTCAATCTTTGATTTGAAGAGTTCTAGTGTATTATTAGCTATTTTGCATGGATTCTCTTGATATATATCTTCTCGCTGTGTTGCATTAGCTACAAAACTCTACATTGCTGGACATACTCCCAAACATTAGATGGCATACATTGGTGAATGGCCTAGCTTGTGGGATTTGCTTTTCCCCGTGCTTGTATGTTGTAGGTTCCCATGGGGTAGGGGAAAAATTGGGCAATTTCGTTAAATTATATTTCTATTTCAATACTGTATTATTTTTTACGGAAGTGACAGTGTGTGGTGTCAGCCACGAACGTAAGAACTGCAAGCTTCGCCGTTCCTGATACTGTACAAGAATCAGGTGCAGCTCTGTAACTTCGTCGCCATTGTCAGAACTGCAAGCTTCGCCGCTGGTAAGACGTCGCCCTTGCTGCCATTCAAAGTTAAGAGCATCGCCGTCCTTCTTTATATTGAATTAATTTTATAAAAATATTAATTTTTAATAAAACCCAGTTGTCCGCTGGAGATACTGCCGGATTTCACGTGATTCTTCCTGATTCCCATTCTTAAGAAAAAGGTATGAAGAAGGTGAATAACTCGCCCGTTTATTTCGCCGACAGTCTTGCTCGTCGGGGCCGGCTTTCCTTCTTCATTGTTCGTGTGTTTACAGGATTGTTGTGGTGGGTTTGTAATTTGTCAGGGATAGCTTTATTTTTTAATATATTTTTTAATTTGTATTTTTTAAAAATAGAAATGAAATGGCCATTCTTTTTATTGAAAGTGGAACGATTTTGATAGAATGACTATTCTCAAGAGTGGCCGACATGACTATTTTCGAGAGTGGTGGACGATTAAAAGTTAAAATTAAATACCAAACACAATAATAAATAAATAAAAAATTCCAATCCACTGTCTGTGTATTCCATTCCACTGCACTGATTTTCAACTAGTCAATTAGTTCGGTTATTTTGTCTGAATGGCGTAAATGCCAGTCGATAAGGATGAAATTCATTTAAATATCAAGGACAAATAAATAGTTTGGTTGCTTTTAGGATAGTAGCAGCTCAAAAGTCAAAAAAAGTACCATGGACAAAGAGCACTATGATTTTCACTAATTAACCAATGAAGAATAGGGTTGAGCCAATTAACGAAGGAAAACTTAAATTTAGGAATTAAAAAAATAAAAAACAAAAAATAAAAAAAAAATAAAAATTGAAAGAAAAGAAAAACAGTATTATGAAGTATCTTAGCCACTCACAATAAAGGTTGTAAAGTAGAGCCTATAACACAAGAAAAAATAACCAAAAAAAAACTGGGCACTAAGGTTTGTGGATATTAGAGATTAATTTATTAGTATCCATAAGAGGTTGATTTATTCATTTGAAGTGAGGTGGAGAGTGAAGTCTTTTTTAAAAAACAAGAAGTCTCATTTTCTTTATCACATATCTTTATTTTTTTTTCCCAAGTTACTTTACATAAAATATATAGCAAAATGAATGATGCAGAATTGCAGAGATGAAAAAAGAAAAGAGTAACAATGTTGGACAAATACTATTTAGAATGAGGGATCGAATGACTTTTAGTTGCTCAAACAAACAATGGGCCGATATAGATATTAAAGTAGTAGTTGCAATTGAACATGAGTGAAATGTTGATCTCATGTTAAGTTCATTGAATAAATAACAAAATAATTTATTATATACTCGTTTTTTTTATTTTTTTATTTTAATTTATTGATGGAGTGGGGATTCGAACTTGGACTTTTGGTTACAAACAAACACATGCCCTACCACTGGACTATCACATCATATCCAACTTAATTTATACTTATATGTATATAAACAATAAATTTGTCATTGAATAAATAACAAAATAATTTAATAACTTATATATACTTCATTTTTTTTTTTTTTTTTTTGATGGAGTGGGGATTCGAACTTGGGCCTTTCGCGACAAGCAACACATACCCTATAAGTATATGTATATAATAGATTTGTCACTGAATAAATAACAGAATAATTTAATAATTTATTATATAGTCTTCCTTTTTTTAAATTTATTGATGGAGTTGGGATTCGAACTTGGGCCTTTGGCCACAAGCAACACCTATCAATGGGCTATCACACCACATCCAACTTAATTTATACTTATATTTACACAAACAATAAATTTGTCATTGAATAAAAAACAAAATAATTTAATAACTTATTATATACTCTTTTTTTTTTTTTTTCATTTATTGACGGAGTGGGGATTCGAACTTCAAGCAACACATGCCCTACCACCGGGCTATCACACCACATCCAACTTAATTTATACTTTTATGTATATAAACAATAAATTTGTCATTGAATAAATAACAAAATAATTTAATAACTTATTATATACTCTCTTTTTTTTTTTAATTTATTGATGCGTAAATAACAAAATAATTTAATAACTTATCAAATTATTGATGGAGTAGGGATTTGAACTTGGGCCTTTGGGCACAAGCAACACATGCCCTACCATTGGGGCTATCAAACCACATCCAACTTAATTTATACTTATATGAATATAAATAATAAATTTGACATTAAATAAATA